AGAGAGAGAGAGAGAGAGAGAGAGAGAGAGAGAGAGAGAGAGAGAGAGAGAGAGAGAGAGAGAGAGAGATCCCAAAAGATCTGAAGAAGAAATGCATGTGGCTGCTTTGGGAACAATAGCATTGATCTGTATTAAAAAAAGAACAACGAAAAAAATGGTGACATGGATCTGTATTTTGCTGAGGGGAAAAGACTGGAAAAGGGACACAAACTCGATGGCAGACTGCACAGAGTGGTGGCTCATTCATACATATGTATGAATACATGTCGTGGTATAGGGCGTCGCTCCACTACACAACACTCTACATGCATTTGCAGAATTTTGGACACTTTCCGGACCTGGTGCATTCGAATGACTCCAATGTTTCGAATGTATCTGGTCCAGCAAGCGCCCAAATGCATGTAGAGTGTTGTATAGTGGAGTGAGGCCAATCATCTGTTTGTAATGTGCTTTTGGTTTTGCACTTCCGATACATTCCGATCAGGGAGAAAGGCGATTTTGTCACTTGCTGGATCTGAAATTCCACAATTAAACCTCCAGTTCACGCCCCCAGCCTTGCTGGAAAGAAAACGCGTTGCCTACGAAATTTTTGGAGGCCCAGCGCCGTAGATAAATCGAATCGGTGGCGGGCGGCCTCCGAAAAGGGCCCGCGGCCGATAGCTGGATGTACTGGTGGTTCAAAGTTAAATCAACGAAGTTCAGAACTCGATTTCGACAACTGCCCCTGTCAGAAAGTGCCTCCCTGTGACATATCATTCAATCTCCCCTGTAGGGGGGGGTATTCAGACGTCTGCGAGCTCGATAGCAGATCGTGAACTCTGCCATCTGCGCATTCACGTCACATTCATTCTGACGGTGGGAGCTGTTACCTCAACTTACCAGCAATCACAACTTTTCCCCATTTTCATAGTGTACAACATTGGGTGCTTGTTGCTGGGGGTTGGGGTTGCAGGGTATAGGGTTACGGGATGTCTGTTTTGCCGTTTAGGGGTTAGGGTTACGGTTACGGTTAGGGTTGGGGTTTAGGGTAAGGGTGAGGGTTAGGAGGGAAGGAGGGGTTAGGGGGTTAGGGTTAGGGATTTGTGCTTTGGGTTTAGGGGTTAGGGTTACGGTTACTGTTGGGGTTTAGGGTGAGGGTGAGGGTTAGGGTTAGGAGGGA